ATAGCTCCCATAATTGGCTGGGCACATCAGTGTCTGGGAACTGATAATGTTGTGATTGTTATTAACCCTTGCACAGATGGAAAAAAACCAAAAAAACTTCCCCAGAAAGATGTAATGCTTCTGTCCTTAACAGTAGCAGCAGCATAATGCCTATATGGTAAGTAAATTGTAACACAGTGGGCTTGCTGATTTCAGACCTGAGAAGATCTTGTCCATGAGAAAGAAAGGGAAATATCTGAGATGCCTCACTGATTTATTCTGCTGGTACTCGAGGAAAGGAATTGTGTGACACATAAATCATCTCATTTTTTTCCAGTTTCAGATTCAAAAGGAAGCTCTGGATTAAAAAACCTGAATCATTTAAAATGGTGTCCTGGGTTGGCATATACCTTTCCTGTTCCTCTCTTGGGACAGACATTCCCTTCTCCCTTGCAGGTTCTGCTGGCAGGGTTAAATGAAGCAGGAAGTGTAGGGCTGCAAACTACTTTCAAAGATAGAAAACAGCCCAGACCTGGAGCCAGAAATAGTGAAGAAGCAGGAGGGCAGTGTGGTCTCCAGTCAGTTTTATAAATCCTTCCTTTTGGGGCTTCTTTCTACCAGCTTTCTTGGATGAGATTAGAGATAGAGCCCCCGCTCCTTGGGAAGTGACAGCATCGTGAAAAATCCTAACAGCTTCAATGTGTTTAACAAACTGCTTTCAAAAATATTTGCTTTCAGTTGTTACAGTAGACATAACTACGGGTTTAAATTTTTCCTCCTTAGGCAGGAAAGCTAAGACTCACGGCCATGCAAATTATTCAGAGTCCCGAAGGTACCACCTAGTGAGCTGGAAAGCTGGGAACGACCCCACAGTCATACCCTACCACAGACATAAGAGGGTATGTTCTGGGGTCTTGTTTTATCTGTATTTTTGTATCCCTGAGGGCTAGTTCCACACCTTGAACTTAGTGTGTATTCACTGTGTCTGTTGTCTAAAAAGCTAGGAATTGCTGTCACAGTCCATCATTTTGAGGAGAAAGATGACCTGTTGGGAGTTAGATGCCTCATGCCCTCAGGGAAGTCTTCCTATACATAACTTACAGCGTCCCTTTCAGTATGCCCTATTTTCTTTCCAAGGCAGAAGCTTATGTAGGAGCAGGTTTGCAGGACACACCTCGTCAGTCATCAGATTCGCTGAATGCAGGCATTGTTTCCCATGGGTGCCCCACCACTCATTTCCCTTTTGTCCCCACCTTCTAGTTTCAGTCTCAGATGTCACTGAGGACAACAAGCTCTGTGTCAGGCCTTCACCGGGCTACTGGGGGCGGGGTATCTTACCCAAGCCTACAGCACCAAAGCATTGTCTGTAGAAGACCCAACATCTTTCAGGAAATACAACCCCTCAAAACCCTTCTTAGGGGGCTCCCTATTTCTGATTTCCTCATTTCATTAGGGCGCATGTTACAGGAAAGTCCCTCTCAAAAACTGCACAGGAAAGGCTAAAATGTAGCTAAAGGTTAAAGTCTGATTAGTCTAAGGCGTGTCTTTTTAATACATGACACCTACAGTACTAGCACAGAAGTTAAGGTGATAAGGACAAAGAGTCTGGAGCAAAACTATTATTATATTTTAAAAAAAGATAAATCAACAATAAGTCAGCCAAGAAATTCTGTCAGTAAAATTCCTCCTTCCCGCAGATTATCATCATTGTTAAAAGGAGGGGGTTAGGAAAAATAAGAGATTATGTAAATATTGAACCAATATTTTTAATTCATTGCTATCCTTTACAGAGGCAGGTGGGCTAAAAATTGATAAAGGACTCCTTGGCGCGGACTTGTCAATCTCCCACGCTGAGCAGGGCGGGCTGTGAAGAGCAGGACGTGCAACACCGCACTACGCTTCTTGTCCCACCCCTAGAGAATGCTGCACATGTCTGGAAAAGTACACAAAATGCCAGTTCCAAAGTGTGGCATACTTTTAAAAAAATAACTTTATACTAAATAGCGGTCTAACCAAAGAACAACTTTAGATCTTTTCCTTTCGGTCTTATATATTGCTATTTTTAAAATATTCTACCCGTGATTTTGTATTTCCTCTTTCACATCACTTATAGTTTATGTTCCTTTTCTACCTTTACCTTCCTAACTGAAAACAAAACAAATGAAATTCCTCAGGCTCCTTCATGTCTTGGTTGCAAACTCTTCTTTGCTGGTACGTTTTCTTCTAGCTGCTCAGTCTCTGACAGACCGGTGAGCCTTTTTATCCTTTGTACGTCAACTGTGATCTAAACTGGAATCTTAGTTCTGTTCTCCAAATTAGATGGCTGTCTCTGTTTATGTTTATTATAATGGATTTCTGGCTAGAAGATTATATCAAATAAAAGCAATAGTTTAAGTAATGTTTAAAAGATCAAACAAGGATTGAATAATGAAATATGCAAATCACTTAAGGGTAGTGTGCTAGCTTTATTTTCCAAAACGCTGAAGGTCACACCCCTGAAGTCTTCGGGGTCCCTTCCCCCAGATGCTCCCTATTCCAGGCAGAGGTCTGTGTCCAGTTGCAGCTGGTGTGTAAAGGGACCTCTTAGACACTTCCTTAGCTGCTTTGGAAAGGAGCCCTGCCGCTAAAGCTGTTAGGAGCCTTCCCGTATTTCACAGGTAACGAAGACACGGAAAACACGCAGAACAGTAGAGGAGAGAAATCATTTCCCAGGGGCTGATCGGTTAGATTAGAACTCACAAACGTGCTGTTTACCGATTTGTTTGGCAGGAGGTGGGGACTGTGGAAGCAGAAAGTAAACCATAAGCATTCCAGGGGCGTTTTCTCCAAAGAGATTCCGTGTGAAGTTTTTCTGGCCTAAGGCACCTGGTTGGTTTGTTTGCTTTTTGCCCCGCCTGGGAGAGGTGTCAACCTTAATAACGACGCTAATTATAATGGACAATAAATGATAATTGATGAGGGAGCGGGAACCCAGGGACTCTTGGAATCCTCATTAAAACAAGCGCACAACCGCAACTCTGGAGGAGCGCTGTTACAATTACCGGAGTTAAGCGTCCTCATCAAAGCGCAGGTGTGTTTGAAAAGCTCCTCCCTTGAATTTACTTGTAATTACGGAAAAATTTCAGGGTACAGAAAGATAGAAAGACTAGCATAACGAAACCTCATGTACACACTGCCCATCTTATCTCGTCTATTCTATTTCTTTCCCCCAGAGCTGGAAAAAAAATTTAAAGTATCAAAACATGACAGCATTTTACTCCTTAATATTTCAGTAAGCACCCTTAAGATGTTACAGTCACTCAGTCGGTTAACGCAAGAGACTTGCAGAACAACATAAAGGAGCACAGAACACTCCCCGCTGGCGGAATCAGTTGTCACAAAGGTGCTCCAGCTGCCGCTCGCGACTCTGAGAACAGCACTTCACGACCCAGGCCGAGGTACAGGAGGAAGGGCAAGACACCTGGCAGGTAACCCAGTGACAGCCCATCCCCCCACCGAGCAAGCGCAATGCAGAGCCCAGCGTTGCTAAGGTCCCCGAGGAAGATGGAGGCACAGAACGCAGCGAGAGCCAATCACAGGCCTTAGAGGCCCATCAACTAGCCAATCCAGATTCTCAGGTGACTCGCGTCCGCGCTCTTCCGCTCGCCCCACCCGTACCCAATCAGAGAGCCGGCTCCTTTGGGCGGCCTTTTCAAAACAGCGAAAACAAAACAAATCTGGGCCCTTTAAACGGCGCAAAGCAACCAAGCACAGTCTCCTTCCGCTCCTCAGTCTCTCGCTTTCCTTCCTTCACCTGCACATCCATCGCAGGATAACTCTGACTCCCACCTCGCAGGCCTCGTCGAGGACTGAGAGAGCGCGACCCAGGAGGGCCACGATCACAGAGGCCGGATGGCGCGGCCCGGGGATGGGACTCTTTTTTCACGGTCCGAGACAGCCGCAGGATCCCTCCGCGGAAAGTCACGTGCCCCGCCCCTTGGGGGCGTAGCGAACTCAAAACAAAAACACCGACAGAGCAGCGCCGGCCTCGCGGAGGCTGCGGGTGTGGAGCCGTCGCCGCGGCCGGCGGAGCGGGGACCGCCATGAGCCCGGGGCTGTGAGGCCGAGGCCGAGGCGGC